AGACAGGGGGAGGGGGGACAAGGGGGGGTGCACGGGGGTAATGTGTGGTTGAGAATATCGTGGAAGGAAAAGAAATCAAATGAGGCAGTACTTGGTGAAGCCCACGTTGGACGCTCACTGTTAAAAACAATCAGGAAACGACAAACACAGTGTTTGGAACACCTGGATACACATAAGGGTCTTGAACATCTAGTTCTCACTGGCAAAACTGAAGGCAAACGAGGCAGGGGTAGGCCCAGAGAAACCTATTTAAGGAACCTAAACAAATGGGTAACAGGGAAAGATCAGGGAGACGTAGCTTTTTTTTAAGAGCATCCGAGCAAAGGAATGAATGGAGAACCATGATCGTCGATGTCTGTCGCAGATCTGGCACTGAATGATGATGATGATGATGATGATGATGATGATGATGATTATGATGATGATGATTTACTCAAGTTAAAACTTTAACCTTTGAAACCACCACGACCTACCCTCTCCTCCTCCCGTGTGAGATCCAGCATTCTGATTGGTGCGTGCGCCACACTGTCATCACGTGGGCGGGGCTCCGGAAGTGGGTCAACGGGGATTCCCGAACACAGATCTTTGAGGCTAACCATGTCAGCAGGTCAGTCTTCACACACGAATTTCTGTGAGCAAAAAAATGAAGGTCGTATGAGCGCACGGGACACATTAAGCTTTTTCAGTTGGTAGGAAATTTTGAATTTTGCCCGGGTGGCGACCGAGGCCTACTTTTGTCGATTTTAGACGACCAAGGGATCTTCAACGTGCGCAATTTGCTCACAGGACCTCCGAGATTTTTCGCCCTTGTCCGAGAAGAGAAGGTGTAGATATTTCCCACGAGAAGATCAGGGGTGCGGCTGAAAGACAGCAGTAAGAAGGAGCCAAGGAGTAGCAGTAGAAAGGCTGCAGAAAGAGTCAGGAGCCCAGAGGAATGAAGGTTTATCTTGTAAATGTCCATATCATCACTCGCCTAGCAACACAATACACCATGCCATCAGGAAGACTTGATAGTTATTATTTCTATCCACAGGGGAAGCGAACTAAATGTGAGGCAGCGTGGTGGAATCAGGCTCTCGTCAATTTTGGGGCATGTAGAGTTATTGGTATCATCCTAAAGCTTGTTCACTTGTCTTTCTTTGGATGAAAAATATATCCATTTATCTTGAATACAAGTCTAGATATTTGCGAATGAAGAAGGCGGGGTTACCTGTTTTCAGGGGTAAAATTAGTGACACAATTGCCACCAAAGATTAGTTGTTTCCTTAGCTTAAGAGTCCGTGGTAATAGAAAATTTTCATTTTTTGTGTCTTTAAATAACGTTTTTCAGAAAAATTCAGACAGAAGTTAGTACTTTAATGGGCATGAAAGGTGTTGAGCCAAAAAACAAAAATTTGACAAAAATTCACAAACCTGCGGAAAAATGCAGGTTTCTTCACTTTGATTATTTTGACGAGCGCCTGATTCCACAACGCTGCCTCACAAATTTCTATCAAGTCTTCCTGCTGGTAAGGTGCATCCTTCTCAACCCATGTTGGTCCTACTAGGCAGGAAGGAAAGCCTGCTTCCTAAATTATCTAAACTGTGTCGATGAGGACGTAAAATAACAAACTGAAACATTGCGATCATCTACACGGCAGGTTACTTAATTGACCCCTTGACCCCATGTATCCATCCAAACCCAGGTTGAGATTGGCACAACATGCACAGGGGCGGGGATACTCAGGAAAGTAATTTCCCAACAACAAAATCAAACTCCCGCCTGTTGCGGGCTAGAAAAAGAGCCCAACAACTACACCACAGACACTGGCATCGTTGTAATCATGAACATACAATGCTACAAAAGAACTGGGCTCTGCTTGTTTGCATCCAACGATAAAGTCAGTTATATCCACCTGAATTGAGATCCCAGATGTCGTACACACACAATCACACACAATCACACACACACACACACACACACACACACACACACACACACACACACACACCTCCCCCACCCCACCCCGTTTCCAAAATATCTGCAAAAACGCCGAGCCCGTGAATGGAAAGCGTGGTAAACAAATCAACTGTTATTTGAAAACACACACAGTTCTTGAATAAGTCGTAAACTAATCTTACCTATTCGTGCCATGTAGATCTTTTGATTCATTTTATAACAAGAACTCAAAATAAAAAAAGAAAACCTACACCAAAATAGAAAGAAAAAAATAGTTTTAAACAATAGGGAATACATTAAAGCATGTACGATAGGTTTCTGGAATCGAACTCACCTCTCTCGGTACAAAGCAAAGAGTCTAAATATCTACACCACAGACGCAGGTACACATTAAAAGAATAAGAACGTTAGATCTAAATAAAGATAAAGTCACGTCGCAATTATTCACGACAAAGAAAAGCACATTCGTTGTAGAAAGTTTCTAGAAAGTAAAGCGGAAAATCATCCGTGCCCATGACAAAGGCATCACAGCTGTTTGGTACTTCCATAGGCTTGTGCAGTAATTAGCCTAGGTTGTGCATTCTTACATTATTTCCGGTTCGCTATGGAGCCCACCGGATAAGAGCAAAATAGCGGCAAGGGTTAAAGAGCCACTTCCATGCTATTATGACAGCGAAACGTGTGATATAATGATGGTGAATAACAACACTTCCTATACAAGTTGGATAACTTCCCTAAAAACAGAACACGTTCGTCCTTCGCTTTGGGGGCGATGGGGCACGTTTCGCTGAGAAGTTTTTATAAAGAGCGAAGAATGTCAGCCATGGCAGTGTGCGATCTAGGGGTAAACGTCTATGGGATTGTCTTATCGTGCTGAGCAAGCCAAGGAGACGGGACCTTCGTGAATTCAGAGACACAGTCCACTAAACTGACCCCCCGAAGGTCAGTAGATAAGCAACGTCTTGCTACTGTTGTGAAACTTTACTTGTTCAACTGAGTCTGTTTGTTTGTTTGTTTGTTGATTGTTTGTTTGTTTGTGTGTTTGTTTGTTTGTATGGTTGTTTGTTTGCTCGTTCGTTTGTTTTAGTGAAGAAAAGCATATCGACGTAATATCGCGCGTTGAATGCTTGGAAAAAAATACAACAAAAAACAACAAAAAAAACAAAACAAGAAAGACGGGCAGAAACAAAGATAGATAGATAAGCTGACAGGTTAACAGATGCACCAATAACAGATTCAGCCGTGTAGACAGAAGAAAGAGACAAATAAATAAATGGCGAACACATTTAGGCAAATCTGGTAGAGACAGGTTGAGATAGGTTGATTAATGCAGTCAGACCAGCAGATAAGCAAACTGCACACACACACATACACACACACACACACACACACA